AACCGCAACACTTTGGTGGCACTTTAGCCAAACTTTTTTCATACTTTTTGTAAAAATTTTTACACTTTTAAGACACTTTGACCTCACTTTTTTAGCTCTTTTTTCCGTGCGGGACACCATTATTTGTGAGACTGTCTCCCACCTGAGTTTCCAGAGCGACCGTTAAATGCTTCAAATTCATATCGATATTTTCGGAAGCTCAATGCATACAAGGTTATTGGTGATTTTTTTTAAAAATTTGTTTTTATCACTATTTATTGTACTGTATCGGTTTTCAGCCTGCGGGAGGGCTTGCCTACGTTCGTTCACCATGGCACCGTACGGTCCGTAAGGGCGAGTATGAAACCCGTCCGCACGCAAGAAGAATCCGGTGCAGTTATCCAGCATAACGCAGAATAACCAGGAAAAAAGACGGCGAGGACCCACCTCGTACCATCACAGACGTGGCAGCAGCGTTCCACGCGTTCCACGCGTTCCACGCCCGCAGGCCCGTGAGCGTGCGTTCGAAGAGCTTGCTGGCCCCAGACCCGGCACTTAACGCGAAAAGTTAAAACCAGACACAGCAGAGCTGCCTCCATGATCCGCTCCTGGACGGAGCCATGTTTTTGTCCATCGCGTTCGCAGATTTCTTGCAGTCACTTGCAGAATTAGATTGTGATTTGGAGCACGGCAAAGGCGTGCCGGTAAGAAAATTAGGAGAGGCGGGATGGAGCGAGGAGGGGGGGGGGGGGTGCCACGCGGCGCTGGTCGTGGCGGGGCGTGGACTGGCGAGGCGAGGCGGCCGGGCTCCTACTCCTACCTTGATGCCTTACTCAGGTCCCTGACGTCCCTGAGTTCCAAGAGGGATAGATAGGCCTCAAGGGGATTGATGGGTGACCCTGTGCCCCCTCACCCCCCCCCCCCTCACCCCTCCACCGCCACGCACCGCCACGCCACTCCCGGCCGCCACGCCCACCGGCCCATGGCAGTCTTTTCCCTCTGCGGCCCAGGGCCAAGAAGGGGGATACAGGGCAATAGCGTGGCCTAGGGGTGCGAAGGGGCGGAGAGCTGCGGTGGAGGCCCGGGGACCAGCGGCTAGAGGTGGAATTTGATGGGATGGCAATGAGCCCCCCCCCGGGCTGTGGGCCCGTTATGTCATAACTCCCGCGAGGTATCGGGCCGGGCAATACAGTTTGCGCCCCGGACTCGAAGGACAAAGGACGCGGCGTCGTCGTGGCCGCGCCCCGCTGACCGGTATAGTGTGGCGCGGGGATGGTGCGGGGCGGTAGGCTGCGGAGGAAGGGGTGAGGGAGCGCTCCTCCCCGAACTATGCCGATCCCCTCGAATCAGTTTTCAACCGCAAGCAGAGGGTGAGCGCGACCTGGCGCGGCCAGCACGGGGGCTCCCGGGCGGGGTAGCCGGGCCCGCGCTCGGCCGGGAGGAGGATCAGCAACAGCGAATTGTTATAGAGGGCAGTGCTGTTTGGGCGACGCGCTGGGCATCACCGGCGCGTTGCGGGCTCGTTCCGCCCGGTGCCCCGCCCCGCGCCGCCCAGCCTCCCCCGGGCCCCGGCAGGACCCGGCGCCACCCCCGCTGCAGCCCGGCCGTCGCCGTGCACGCGGAACGAAGCCTAGCCCTCTGGGCGCGGGGAGCGGCGCCGGCGGCCGGCCCGGCCCGGGCGGGGCGGGGCCCAACATTCTCCCAACTATTATTAATCACTCGTGAGTTTGCCTGGCTGAACCGGGCGCTCGAGCGCCGCTGCCTCGCCGGTCAGGCCGCGCGAAGCCACGCTACAACGATCAGCGAATTGTGAATACAACTCGAAGGCTGCCCCACCCCAACCCACCCCCTCTCCCTTCGAGGCAGGGTTGGGTAGTGGCGAGAGCGAGAGAGCAGCGGGGCGAAGGCAATTGGCCATTTGCGAGCTGTCTCTCTCACACCTCCACGCCAAACACGAACTACCCTGCGGGGCGAGGCGAGCGGGCGGCCCCCCTGCCCCCGCCCCCCTCCCCAGCTCCAGGGCGCATTCAATTGCCGGGGGGAGGGGCGGCGGTCCGCCCCCGGCCCGCCCCCGGCCGAGGCCTGATGTAAAGCCTTTGAAGGCAATTCCCTAACTGAACTGCAGGCCCCGGACCCGCCCGCGCCCCGCCACGCCTCGCTCGGGTCCCCGTGGCCGCCGGGCCGGCCGTGACGCCGGCGAGCGTGGGGGCGGGGGCGACCAGGGGCGTGCGTGCCAGGGGTGGCCTACCTCACGGGCGGCCCGGGCACGCCC